CTGGTCTGAGCCAAGGAGAGAAGACCAAGACAATGTAGTTACTGTCCAAGGTACATCAATGCTGCAGTACTATGGAGAAGAGACAAAATTAGGGCAACATCTAGGCACAGGACACAAGTCCCAAGGGCAACAGAGGCTAAGTTCAGGCTTAATCTGATGGCAACGTTACTGATCTTGGTAAGCTTTTCATCAGAAATGGAAGGTGTTTTATAAAAGTGGCACTAAGTATGGGCCATTACAAAATAACTTAGGATAACTTTTAAACTGACAGAGCTGCAACAGAGAAATTCTGTCACTTCAATCTTACAGTTTCCTCACAGACTGAATACACACGAGCTACCTAGCTTACATAAAAGAGAAGTATTCATCCTGAACATACAAATACAAATCACTTTTGTCTCATTGCCACCTATCTGGAGTAAGTATAGAAAGGGCAGACCTGCAAGAAGGGCCTGTGCTAGGAAACATAACACAACAAACGGGGTGTCCTGCTTTCCTACAGCACTGCAGTTATCCTGAATAGACAGCCTTATGACGGACAGAACAGAAGAATCTGTCCTGGTCTTCCAGACAGCTTTGGAATTTTGATGCTGACTCAGGATTTAAAACAACAAGCCACTGGATTGAGGGAATTTAAATTCTCAATTTGCCCTATGTCAACTTCTAACAGAAGAAAAACAAAAAGGAAAGACAAAATATTAAAGAGGGGAAGTTTGTCTATACAACTGGTACTATTTGTAGTACCTATCTGAAAAACCACACTGCTTTCATGGCATAAGGAATACATTTTGAACAGCAGCAGGAGACAGTTTCAGCTTTAAAGTCTGAATCATAGTAAGAAGCTGGCAGAACCATCCTAGTCTAAAAAATAGTCTGCACATTATCTTTCCAGGCAGAAAGCGCACTTTACGAGACATATCCTTTCACACAGACTGTCTAACCCAGGATTTGGCTCTCACCTGCGCCTGCTACAACGCCCCTTCACAAGCGTGAACAAGTCACTCAACCTCTCTGTATTTTATTCCCCCACTTGTAGTCTACACTTCTTCCCTACCATACAGGGTAGAGAAGATACCGGTATGAAGACTGGAAGGCATTTAGATTTTAAATCTAAATACTACACCTAAGGAGGTAACTAAACCAAATACAGAAAACACATAGGGCACACATAAAAATAGCAAATTAATGACACAGGGACCAAAGAATTAACACCTCTATCCTGAAAAGGCCTGAAGTTAAAATCACAACTGTTATGATCCACCTTTGTGATATTAAGAGTTGGCCTAGAGGAAACATATGATGCTACCTCAGAGAACTGGAAAAACCTGCAGGTTCAAAGTGGCTGTACGTTAAAGCTTTTGAAATAAAGAACTCCTGAGCTGGCAAACTGTGTGTTTCTTGTTTTGCTTGCTGTTGCTTTCACATCCACAAGGGATCCCTATCTCCATAAAAAATCCCCATACAATTTCTGTATGGAAACATTAATTTTGTTGTTCTTTGAAACACTGAGAGTTAGAGCCCAGGCTAACTGTGACCGACAGTACATTGCTTATATATTCTATGCTGTATTGGACATTAGTAATTCACGTAGTCAGTGTAAAGAACGAAGATGTACACCACATTACTATCTCCCTTTATCACTTGCTATAGCCTTCTCTGTATCTATGATATGGTACTGCTGCCTTCCCACCAGGCCTGTAGATGTTCTGCAGTCTTTTTTTATCTGTTTCGTTTTAATAGCATAGCTCTTGATGCTACCTTTATTCACTCTTAATGTTTCAGTTTGACCCCATTTGGTTTAACTTTTGCATGCTGCACCATGTTTAAGATTGGTCACCCCTGTCAGTTGTGCAGTATTGCAAAACTCCCAGCTGAGCTTCACAAACATGCCATCCACCACCAGCCTGGCAGCAAACACATCAACACAAGCCTTGCATTTCCTCCTGTTCAACATTCCTCTGTTGTCCAAGGGCATTAACACTGAGTTTTCTGTGTTCTTGTTTTACTTGCTATTATAGCTCCTGGAACAGTGATTCCCAACATTTTTCCAGCTGAACTCTGCTGCTGTAGCCTTCCTTCTAATTTCCTTACTTTTCCATCCATCATCTGCTTTTACTCCCTGCTCCTCCTCCCCCCCCAAGCCCCCTCCCCTTCCTCTTTGCACTCTACTCCTTCTTCCATAACAGTACCAGCTCTCTATGGTCACCTTGTAACCTGGTGGGTTACATAGATACTAGGCTATAAACCTAGACAGATCTCTCTCCAGTTTCCAGAAGCACCTCCAAGCAACCCCCTCCCTGCAGGCACAGCCAGAAGCAAGCAAAAGAAGCTAACACACCAGTGCTCCTGCAGAGTAAGACCCAGGACCTAGCTGTACCTTGCCTGTAACACGTTGCACCTCACTTGCTGGGAACTGCTGTATGATGAGGTGTTTGGCACCCAGAGCCTGCAGAGGCAAGCTGGCTCACTCTTTTGGATTCCCTCTGTAAAGGACACCGTATAAAGTGTTACTGGCAGCCTTGCTGCACTGCAGCTCCAGTCAAGTTACAAGCTATGTTTTTTTCTTATCGCCCGTACAACCCAGGAAATACGCAGCTCTAATGAGAAAAGCTTTAATTTCTCATTTTTTCCTCTAATGCAACCTTAAGATTCAGATTAGTTATGTGCATAAGTCAAATGTGATGTTCTGGGTACCATCAATCACATCTGGGTTGCTGCAACCAGCGCGGGGAAAATTCAAACTGACAACAAGCCTCTCTACCTTGTCATATTTTATATTACCTGCTGTCTTCTTCGAGAAAGGCAGAAAAACTGTATTCCAGGGTATCACTCTGAGAAAAAGGTCATGTTTACACTGCAGAGGGAGCAGAGGAAGTCATAAGCTCAGTCAATTAATATCTGTAGAGACTGGCTGAGCTACAGCAAGCCGTTTTCACCACTGTGGATGCTCATCACCTACACTGTAATCTCTACATGAGAGATACCCTATAACAGATATATGCTGTCTGCACAAGCTTAATGGCTTCACAAGCAAGTTTTCCTGAAATAATGCAACACATGGGTTTAACTTGCATTGACTGTACATGCTGCCAGCTCCTGTTCTGTTGGAGGTGCACACCATCTCACCCACGAAGAAATGTAAGTTAGTATTAGATATGGAAAAAAGAGACTCACCAAAGCAGAGCTGCCACTGCCCAGGTTACACACACACTGCTCTCCTTTGCAGACACAAAGGAAAACATCCCCAAAAGACATACAAATACTTGGGTGCAGCAGACCATCATATGCTGAAGAATTAAGCATTCATCTTCTTGCAACCTGCTCCAAGTAGTTTGATTGAATTACATTTTTGTCTACTACTAAACAAGAAATTTCAAACCAAACTACACACTCTGTAACTATACCACCCAAAATGAAAACTAAATGAAACCGAGACATATACAAAAATACCCAATAGGTGTTAAATGTTGCCACAAATTCCTTAACTTTTAGGCAGACCTTACATTTTTCCTTTTACAAACCTACAACTGCACAAAGCTGCTGGGTCACACTTTCTAATTCTCAATGAGCATTCAGTCAGACACAACTTACTACCACGAGCAGCTCCCATTGGCATGCCAAATACTGTTTTGCGTCAGTGAGACAGCACTAAGAGTTACGCTGACAGAGTCCTCATGGTTGAAGGACTGAATCTTCATTGTATGTGGGGCTGCATTTTAAAGGCATATGAATTAACATGTGGCTCATGTTATAACGATTCTTATCACCAAAACACCCTGCAACACTAAGCAAAAGACTTGTTGGTTTCACTAAGTGAAGAACAACAGTACTTGCTCAAGCCTTGCTATCTACACCACCAGACATTGGAGGCAGTCACTCAGTGCAGGCCTCCAGCCCTTCTCTGTGATTCCACTGTATCGGAGCAAGTTTGAATCTAAGCTCCTTTCCTACACATTTGACACTGTGCACCTTTGCTATCTCAGGAGGCTGGCACACAGTCTCTCTTTCGCATGCTAGGAAAACATAGGTTATCTTTTTGGAATTGGGACCAAAGGGAAGAAATCTAAATGAGCTCTGGTGTCCAGAGCATCCCTCACTGGCACTCAGGCAGCAGGAGAGCTCAGCAGAGACCAGAGTGCTGCCTCCTCCTCACCTGAGCATGCGTTTTCTTGAAGACTGCTTCCTAATGAACCATTGTGAGTTCTTGCTTCTTCTAAAAAATTACTTTCCTGAAGTACTCCAGTAATACTTAGAAGCTGTTGCTTAAAAACAGCCCAAATTACTTCCTACTAACATGTAACTCACCACCCACCTCAACTAACCCCACCACAACACTGTGCCATGGTCTCAACACAGATTACTCCTGTCCCTGAAGTCACAACAGTACCCTCAGACAGCCGCAGCTAGACACCGAGTGACCATAGCCACCTCTGAAGTAGACCATCAACACTGTCCAGGTGCTCACCAGCAAGCCCATTTCATCACTGACAAGTTACAGGACCCCATTTCACCACTCAATCCCAGTAACAGACCACAGGCCCCCGACGAAATTGCTGGAGGCTCACAGTTTATTTTTCAGGCCGTGGAGATATTACGCTGCTCTAAGGACCCTCCAAAGCAGACCAGCCCAGTATTATTTAACGCATTCAGCCTCCCAGTATTTGAAACCCAGCGCTGGAAGCCGGCGTACCAAAGGGGTGAGCAGCAGCCCACCTCCCGATTTCCAACCGATGTTAAAAGCTCCAGGAGACGCCGCTGCGGGACAGGACGCGACCCGCCCGTGCCCGGGGCCCCGCCGGAGGGAAGAGGGTGCACGGAGCGGCCCTTAAGCGGGCTCCCGCACGGCGCGGGGAGCGGGCGGAGGGCCGAGAGGTGCTCCCTGGTTGCGGTGCAGGCGGCGGGCGCTCCACCCGCCTCAGCCCCGGGAGCGGGTTGGCCGATCCGCCCCGGTGGGCGACCCGCTCCCGTTCTCCCCCCGCTCCCTTCCCTCTGTCACCTACCCCACAGGCCTCCGCCAATGCCGCCGCACAGCGCCGCGCCCCATCCGCCCCGCGGAGCACCGGCACGGCCCCGCCGCCGCCGCCGCCCCTTACGCTGTGTTCGGCGGGGAGGTGGGGCCGACAGGAACCAGGAAGTGAGCGGTGGCGGGGCCCCGGGAGGCCGGGGCGTGTTTATGTGCAGGGGGTGGTGGTGGAATGCGGGTTTTGTGAAGAGAAAATAAGCTTTTGGGGGCGTTTGTTTTCCGGGGGGAACGGCTCCCCGCGCCGGGCGGGTTGGATACCTGGTTGGCAGGTATCGGCACACAAGCGGTGGCTCACCTTTTGCTTGAGGCTCCCGGTGTCGAGCCATCGCTTCCAGGCTGGACATCCTCGGCAGGCGTTAGTTAATGACGCAGTGGGAATTCTGACATTCCAGGTGGTTCCCTTAGGCTGGCTTTACTTCAGCATGTCATCTGTTTACAAGGTTAGAGGAAAACGCATTGCTTTGCCCTTGCAGAAGAAAACACAGCTGACATCGGTTTTGCCTGACAGCCTCCACTGGTGCAGCACATTAAAGGGAACGCCAATGTCCTTGGAAGTCCTCTTCAGGGCAAGGGGATGCCTTCCGCCCTCCCAGACAAAAAACGAGCCAGGCCTAGGCTTTCTGCACCTCTGGAAAACAGCTGTCTGTAGCTGTAATGGAGATGTGCTAGCTGAGCCTCTGGGCTGTGCAAGAATTCCACTTGTGTTAGGTAGGCTCCAGGTTGGGGTGGCAGAAGGGGGAATACAAAAGTAATGTAAAATAATAAACCACTTATTCCTTGCAGCTGGAGCTGCCAGCTAAGCCATGAGACAGACAGGACTGGGAGGGAACCCCCTTTCCCCGTGCTCTCAGTGGGAATCAAATGGTGTACCTGCATGGATGCTTTATTTTGGATCAGGAATTCACTCCTGCAAGGCAGTTTTAAATTTCTCCTTACAGTAGTTTGGTTCATGCTGGGGAACGTGAGGACACAAAAACCGCTGTGTGGGGCAGACAATGGGTCCAGCACAGGTGCAGCACTGCAGATGCTGCTCAAGGACACACAAACCAGGCCCCTTTCCCATAGGGCACTGCCTTCGCCTGGTACTCCCCAAAGAGTATGAGCTAACCAGACTTGGTCAGGTTCCACTGCTGCTCTCCCACTGAGCAGTCGTGAGCAACCCCCAAATAACCCCAGTGTTCATAAACTTGACTCCTTTTACAAGCAGGAAAACCACAGAATGCATCTCAGAAAGCATCCACTCTGATCTGACTGGTAACAGATGCGCAGCTTACTAACAGGACCAGAGCTAACCCAAACTGAAACCTCCGAAACTTCTTGTTCCAGGCTTCTTCTGCCTGGAGAACAAAAAGCACTGAGGAGACCTTAGAGCAGCTTCCAGTGCCTAAGGGGCTACAAGAAACCTGCAGAGGGGCTTTGGACAAGGGCATGTAGGGACAGGCCAAGGGGAATGGCTTGAAGCTGCCAGAGGGGAGACTGAGATGAGCTCTTAGGCAGAAGCTCTTCCCTGTGAGGGTGCTGAGGCGCTGGCACAGGGTGCCCAGAGAAGCTGTGGCTGCCCCATCCCTGGCAGTGTTAAAGGCCAGGTTGGACACAGGGGTTGGAGCAAGCTGCTCCAGTGTGAGGTGTCCCTGCCTGTGGTCCTGTATGCTTTATTAAGGAGTCTCAGAGAGCTAGAAATGCCTGGATAAACTCCAGCAACACATTGTGCAGGCCTCATGAGCCATGGGTCGTTCTCACCCAAGGAAGCATCAGCATCAAGTCAGATAGCAACTTTTACAATTATGCCCAAGAGCCATGTAAAACAAACAAAGAGTTAAACTTACATTAACCACTCACTGCTCCAAAACTTCGAATTAAGGCTGTCAAAAGAAACCCAGCCTTAATTATTGTTTTATTGTATGTGGTGTTAATTACACTTCCCATTCTCCTTTCCCAGGGATATGTGGCACAGGACCAACAGCGCTCTCCTAACCGAAGCACTTGGTCTCTTCTCTGCTCCCGCACCAACCCGCCTCGCTTGGTCCATTCCTCCGAGCTAAAAACCTCTCCGTTTCCCTATTTCTCTCGCGGGGTTTACCCCTACGGGAGCCCTTCCTAAGCAGAGAGGTACTTCCGCAGCCCCTTTCAGCAGGTTTTACCTCAGCACAGGGCAGGCAGCAAGCGGCCGCTGCCCCTTTGGTTTATGATGACTGATCAGCTCCTCGGAGGAAGCGTTTATTCGGGGACGCGGGGTGCTCTGCGGGCACCGCGTTTGAGAACGATTCGTCTGCTCCCTATGAAAGCCTTACTGAGGGGGATTTACGGGCTGCAGGATGCGCTTTGTCCATGAGGAGAGAACCCCCCACTCTGCGGGCGGAGGGGCAACAATGGCGTCTCAGTGCTTCCCCCCTCCCCTCAGCGCGGCGGCGCGCGGGCGCCGGAAGCGGAAGGGCGTGACGCGGTGCGGCGGCGGGAGGAAGCCGGCAGTATGGCGGCTGTGGTGCTGAGCGAGCCGGAGAAGATCTACATCGTGCACGGCGTACAGGTAGTGATGGCGGCGGCGGGAGGTGTGGGAGGCCGTAGCCTGTGCCCCTCCGAGCGGGGTGATCTTCGGATTGTTCCTGTCGGTATTGTTGTCCTGGGAGGCGTGGGCGAGGCCCATCCGCTCCCCGTGTTTGCTCCCTGTGTGGAATGGGAAGCAGGGAGGGAGCTCTCGGTGTTTGGACGGGGAATCTCTACGGTGATAATTATAGAATGGTTTGGGTTTGAAGGGACCTTAAAGCTTCGGGCAGGGACACCTCACACTAGCCCAGGTTGCTCCAAGCCAACGTGGCCTTGAACACTGCTTTGAATGGGGCAACCACAGCTTCTTTGGGCACCCTGTGCCAGTGCCTCAGCACCCTCACAGGGAAGAGCTTCTGCCTAAGAGCTCATCTCAAGTCTCCCCTCTGGCAGGTTAAAGCCATTCCCCCTTGTCCGGTAACTACAGGCCTTGTAAAAAGGTGTAGAATTACCCAAGCGCACTGAGAACGGGGCATCGGGACGGGAAGCAGGCTGCGAGCAGGACGGGGGGGTTATTTTTTCGTGTTTTGTTCTCCTCCCCCACTTCCAGTGCTCTTTCTGAAGTTTTTTTGCTGTTGTGTAGCGTTTTAGCCTGTCACTGAGCTAAGGAACAGTGTGTGGACTGAGGAGGAAAAGTGAAGGACACGTGGGGAGCAATACTAAAGATAAAAGGACTCTTTGCAAAGGACAGAAAGTGTATTTTACTGCAAGTAAAACTATTTTAATGGGAATGAGCTATATAGTTTCTGAGCATGTGAAATACCGTTTTTGAAATACAAACAAATGAAAACATTTGGAAGGCTGGTGGGTTATTTTTGTTTGCTGGGTCCTAATTACAGATATAAAAGTACAGAACTTGGTGTCCTGGGAAAAACACATGTGGTATTAGGTAAAAGTATGTTTTAAAGCCGAGACTTTTACAGTTTTGCAGTCTGAAGCTTTCTTTTGGTATTAAAGTGACTTAATGCAGGAGTTCATGTCCGTCTGCAGAGAACCTGTTGCAAGCTCTGGATAAATGAGATTTAAATGGAAACATGCAGTTGGTTCTCTTGTGTTCCTAAGTGAGAAGCTACAGCTATTGCTTTTATATCCTTTTTACTGCTGTGTTTGGCATAGGAAAAAGAAACTTTAAAAGCACGGGTTCTTTCTTTTGTTTCTTTTCATCATTTCTTTTGTTTCTTTTCATTACTGATTCCCTTAAGCACAATGTATTGATTGTCATACATAGGAGGATCTTCGTGTAGATGGTCGTGGCTGTGAAGACTACAGATGTGCAGAAGTAGAAACAGATGTTGTATCAAACACAAGTGGGTCTGCAAGAGTAAAGCTGGTAGGTAAATTCCTTAGAGATTGTGTACTTTGCTGATGAAATTTCTGGTTTATGTGACTAGTTTTAAGATAAGATGAGGCTATTTGTAGGTGGGTTTCTGTATGTGTGTGTAATGGTGTGTGTGTATAACACTAACTGAAGCTCTTGGGTTAAGGAAATAACGCCAGGCTATATAATTCATTTGAGCTGGCTTAACCTGCTTGAGCTACATTGAGTATGAAGTAGCTGGAAAGCCTTCAGTCTGAACTAGTTTAGCATTTAATCTTGAAAACTGAAATTGCTATTGAGCCTTATCCCTGGAAAAAAATTCTATTCATTTAGAGTGAAGCAAAACTAATTCTGATGTGTGTTGAATGTGAAGAAGATAAATAAACTGTGCAGTATTATAAAGGTTATGCAGAAATAGCTGTTTCCAGAACAAGTAAGAGTGTCTTTTTAACCTAGAGAAAGCTAATATTTGAAGAGTCTTCTTAGGCTCAACATTGTCCTTCTAAAGCCTCTTCTTTTTTCAAAACCTAAACTTATTTTTAGTTCATTCTGATAGAATTATCAGTGTAGATAACTAAAAGGTAGAAATATCAGTTTAGGCATTTAAATTGAGTAGTTCTGTGACTGTAATTCTGGTTGTGCAATGTGTTGTGGTGTTGTTTTTTTTTTTTAACAGGGAAACACTGATATCTTGGTAGGAGTAAAAGCTGAAATGGGGACACCAAAGATAGAGAAGCCAGATGAAGGCTACCTGGAATTCTGCGTTGACTGGTTAGTATACTAAACGAGAGGAAATAGATCTCTAATATTTGGAATAAATGAGTAATTCCATTCGTCTGAAGATTATACCTTCATTCCACTAACCTTCTGTAAGGAACTGAGTAACAGAAACAAGTTAATTTAATCTTTCAACAGCGGTGAAGGTTCAGAAGCTTTCTGCTGGTTCTGCAGACCCAAAATAAGCAAAGTAGTAGGAGTTAAAGAGTAAAAAAAAAGTTAAAAAAAAAAGTACATTGCAGAACATCACTGCAACTGGAAAGGAGTAAGGGTTCAGTTACACATGCATTTAACATGACTTCATGACTACAGTGGCAGTTGTCTTTTTACAGTGATAGCGTACAGAAAATCTCGTTCAAAAGTGAAGTATTCCAGAAGGAAAGAATTGACTGTTACAGACTGTACTATAACTGTACTTAAAGGTTTACTTTGTCTATGAAAGCAGCAGAAAAAGTTTGAAGTGGTTTTTTTACAG